TAGTTACATAGAAGTAGGCTCTGGTTACCCCTCTTTCTCCTGTAGGGACTGTAATAAATGAAGGCTTGTAGCCAGTTTCCACACCTGCTGCTATAAATTGTAAGTGGCCACATTCAATTAGTTATTATGGGTTAGTTTTTCAGAAAAGCAGGAGTTTGGATAAAAGTTCTCATTTGCTAAATGTAGTATGTTTTTCTTGGAATAATCTAAGCCTGGTGTTTTTGTTTTTTTTATAGGTTGCAGGACCAGAGTGTGCTTCCAAGAATTGATAAGGTAAGCAGTCACTGACCAAAGTAATTACCTTGATTTGTACAAAATTTACATATTTACAAGAGAAATACTATAATGAGACATTGTAGGTTTCTAATTCATATACAGTTAAGTTTTTAGGATCATGGGGGCTCTGGTAGGATTTGAACCCACAAGTGTGAGGAGAAGCCATTCAAAACAAGAAGTTCAGTGTGTTAGCCATTATGCCACAGAGCCAATGGAAAAAAAATCAAGTAGCTAGTTTCCACTGGTTTTATCTAGTTGAAAAAAGATCTGGATGTATACAAACAGACTTCCTCTTAGAAATAGATTTTTTTTTCATTTTTTAAAGGTAAACATTTAAAAGTTCGTAGAAGTCATTCAGGAATTAGAGTATATCTATTGTTTGTGACATGTTTCAGTACAATAAAATACTGAATCGGAGCAGACTAGAATTTAAGGATCATGCTTCTTTTAAATATATCTTTATCAGGTGAAATATTACATTTAAGGAACGACCCCCCCCCCCCCCCCCCCAAAACAAAACACCTAACTAGCTCATCTGATGTTGATCCCTTAAGTTTTTATTCATACAAACTAAAATGGAATAATTTATGTGAGAAGCTTGGAAGAGTGGGCCCTAGCTGACACAGTATATGAAGCAATTTTTACCACTCTGCGTGATGTTAATTAATTGGTTGATGATTTAGTTATCAACCTGTCAAATAACATGCAACTTGTGTTTTGTCTGTAAATCAGAGGCCTTATCCTGCAGCTCTCTTAAAATAAAATAAACATGCTAGTTAACATAGTGGTTCTCAACCTTTTTAGACTCAAGGTCCCCCTCAGAAAATTCTGGTTCTTACCTTTTGCTTGTTTCTTGATTATGGAAAAATAATAGAGCAATTCTTCTGTGCCAGATGACTCGGACCATAACAGACCACAGTGTTTTTGACACTATTGATTCCTATTTGAACTCTCTGGGCTTATCTTGTGAATCATGTACACTTAGAAGTGCAAATAGTGCATAGCACCCTGTAGCACCTCTAAAAGTTTTTTGCTGCATCCCATTCAGAATCAGTATTAGGTACTTATATATTTGCTGTAGTAACATTAAAAACAAACCTACATTTTAACTTCTTGCTTGATGGTAATTAGGTAGTTTAAATGTTCACCTTTCAGGCTGTAATTTCCTGTGTTTGACCTGTACTTGAAGGTGAATCTTTACACTGATGCTATTTGAGCCAAACCTCACTACACCTCCTGGTATGGAAAAATAGAAAAATATTTTTTCAATAATAATAATAACCCCTGCCCCACATTCTGTTTTCTTAACTATTCTTTCATTAGCAAACCTATAACTTTCAAACTTCTTAAACAGATATTATTCCAATGTAATATATAGCATACTTTGCTTACTTAGCAAGGTTTAGGAATTATATCTGTTTTTCAAAGTCCTATGTAAATGTGGGCATGACATACCTAAAAACCTAGAGTAATGATACTTAAGCTATGGCTTCCAGAGCTGTGGCAATTAATGCTGCCTCCTCTCCCCCCACCCCTGCCAAATTGCTGCATCTGTGGGGAGCGCCATGGGTTGGGGTTGGATCTGATGCGCAGGGGCACTCTGCAGCGAGATACAGTATGCAGGATCACACTGATCCCATGCACCAGCCGCATGCTGGATCTGGCCTATGGACCAAACCTGTATCTGGAATTCAACCCATGGACCAGCCCTGCACCACTCATCTAGCTCAGTAAGCACCACAAACCTAGAGTACCCAGGCCAGGTGACTGAAATGTCATCTTTATCAGCACTATACTTTCAAAATGTAGTTTTGGTAGTATATCGGGTGAATGATATGGCAGAATCTTGTAGAATTTCTTTGACCATATAATTAAAGTCTGTGTTGTAATGAAAAGACATACTGGAGCATGATTAGTTATGTGCAGCTTGTAACTTTAATATTTCTTAGTGTTTAATTTTGCAATTTGTTTAAATTTAATTTTTAAGCAGAATTCTAAAGTTTTGAATGGTTACTTGTCCTTTTTTTTATTTTTATGTAATTTTACCTCACATTTTATTTTCTACTTCTGTTAGATTTGTTCTCTTTTTTCCTTTTTTTTCTGAACAAATAATTAAGATATGCTTGTGTGGGGAGTCTGCTTTAGCTTTGGTGAGATGCATTTTAAACTTTTATCACTTGCCTGAGCACTGTGGTTGAAATAGAGCTGTTTGTGTAGTCTGTAACAGTAGATGGTGCTGTTAGATTGTACATCTGTATTTCTGAGGCATTCATAGCAGTATATGCTCTGGAGCCTATATTGTTTACAGTGATAAATGAATGTTTTTATAGCACTGTTCACAGATTTTAAACTCATTGCAATAGAACATTTGTTTTACAGCATTTCTTAAAATTGTATTATGCCTGTTACAATTTTTAATGGTAGTATTTAACTTTAGAGAATCAGTCTGGAATTAAGTGAACTGATGGACTTCCCACGAGTAGAGAGAGGTGGCTAGTCGTCCCAGTCTGAAGTCAGGCAGAAGGCAGGGCAACATGGCATATTAGAGACTGAGTAGTTCAGAGTCAGAACTTTCACAGGCAACAGTCTACTTTGTCAGATGTTGCAGATGAACTTGTAGTTATTAGTTATGTGTTCTAGGTGTTTAAGCTGAGGGCTGCAGTTGACAAGCAGAGGGAGTCTGATGTCCTTAGCATGAGGTTGGTATTCTGGCAGGTGGGAGCAGGGTCTGAATATGGCTCTGTTGATTTAAATAGTATGGTTTTGGGATTTTGTTGTAAGTGAAGGAAGCCCTGTGTAATAGGGAAGCCTCCTCATCAGGTCTTTGCTGACTGCCCTGCTCCTGGGATAACTACTCACTTTGCTCGTCTGCCACGCCTTGATGGAAAAATATGAAAGTTGTTACTAAGGTGGGAGGCTACCCATTACTCGCCTTGCTGACAAGGGCCTAATACCCACTCCGACTTCCTCTTTGTGGGTCCTATGCCTTGCAGATGTTACTCTGGTGTTACTTCTCTGGTCTATGGCTGGAGCAAACTGGGCACACAGTTGTAGCTCTTTTCTACAGTCCCAGAGGGCCACTCACATGCCACCTCTCTCTCACCGGGGTCCCATTTACTCTGCTGGCTCTCACTCAGCCTCTTTCATGCTGCCCTCTCTCAGGGGCTACACTCATCTTACCCGGCCTAACTCAGTTTTGGGCTTAGCTCTCCTCGGGCAACCCCAGCGCAATCTGTTGGGTGTCTCCTGCTACCCTCACCTGAGTGTTGACTGAGCGATTGTATGACTGTAGGCCTATTTTGCTCGTAGCTCCTAGCCAGGCCACTATGCCCCCACTGGGCCTCCTCACTCACCCACGCTCACAGGGCCACTCTGTTCATTGCCCCTCTCACTCAGGGTCTCGCTACTCATCGCCCCTCTCACACCGGGTCTCACTCACACCCCCAGGCTTTCCCCTGCCACTTGGGTGTGGCCCCAGGTCCCTCCTCCAGCCTGAGGTCTGCCTCAGGGATCCCTCTGCTTGTTAGAACCCCACCAGGGATGTGAGGCTGGGGTTATAAGGTGCCCCGACCCACCTTTCACTGGGGAGGTAACTGGCCTGGCATTTCCTAGGGGCTCCCACGCCACTAGAAGCCCCACCAGACCACCCTTCCCCGGTAGGGTGCAGTTTTACATCTTACCCAGGACAAGGGGTCACCTCCACCCCAGTATGATGCTGTCAGAGAAGACAGTGAATTAACTTATTATTTGATCCAGTGATTATGTGGTCTGTGTTGATGAGGATCAAATAATAAGTTAATTCACTGTCTTCTCTGACAGCATCATACATGCCATCACTTGTTTACAGTGCCCCTTTGCTGTCTACACTGGACAGATGGAGAAATCTGTATGTAAAAAAGTGACTGGATACCTGTACTGATGTCAATTCCAGAAATACACAAAAGCCTGTGATAAAACACTTCAACCTACCTAGGCATTCTGTCACTGACCTCAGAATAGTTGTCCTTAAGTAACAAAACTTTCAAAAAAAGGCTTGAATGGGAAATTGCAGAACAATAAATCATCCATAGACTGGATTTTAAGTGTGGTCTCAGTAGAGACTGTAGATTCTTATCCCATTTCCTTGACTTGCTTTTATAACCTCTGTGTCCCTCAGTTATAACCGCCTTATTTTATCCTTTTAACCTAGTCAACAGACCTTTTCTTCTCTCAACAGTGACCCTTTCCCTTACTCTTGATATTTTAATTCCCCTCTGTTAGTACCCCTGCATTCTGCAAGTCTATTCATATCATCTGATGAAGTAGGGTATCACCTACATAAATTGTATGCCTTTTTGAACCAGTTAGTCTCTAAGGTGCCACCTTGCCCTGCCTTCTGATGGACTATAATAACATAAAAGCTGTTGCTGAAATACTTTAAGAAACATGCTTCTTGTCCTTTTCTTTATATTAGTGTGTGAAAGCTGTTTTTTGCGGGAGTGAAATGTTCAAATTAAATCACTCAATCTTTGAATAAAATGCTTACTTTAACAAAAATATTTCTGTTAATTTACTTCAATTTAGTTGGAAGGGAATGGACAGAAGCAAAATGATAATGGCTGAGCATGCAGATGACACACAAGATTATTCTTGGTCTGTGGAGATTTTACCAATCACCCCATAGGCAAAAGTGCAGTGATATTCTTTTGCTGCATAAGTTCCCATATGAGCATTACCTTTAATTCTCCTTTTTTGATGTAGTATTCTGTTACAGAATAAAAATGTTTCACATAAGAATGCAAATGGAAACCACACTGTCTCAAAAGTAGAACATAGCATGTTTCCTACAGTTACATCTACATTAAGTCTATATCACAACTTTTTTCTGCCAAGTTTTAACATCATCTTTTCCTTCTACCAGCCCTTGCCTTTGTTTGGCTTTTCCCCCTTACTACAAAAATTCATAAAGTTTTTAATCAGTGGCCTCTTTATGGCTGTATCACCTTCCTTAACATGGT